AAGCTTTATTTTGTTTTGATCCAATGCTGCACAACTGAACTGATCCAATGCTGCTGTGAAAAAAAGAAGCTATATCCATGTTGGATAGAATATCTAATTTAAATAAAAAAATAACCTTAAGGGACAACTTGAATGCTTTTTTTCTTTTTTTTCTCTTAATGCATTGCATAAAGATCGGATCGGGAAAAATCGGTATCGGCAAATTGTCAAAATCAAATGATCGGAATCGGATCGGGAGCAAAAAAAGGTGATCGGGACATCCCTAATTTTTTGTATCCATTATCAATGTTAACGATTCAGTTTCCCAAACAAGACAACATAGTTGACTCCCCTCGCTGCATCTCAATGTTGACAGGGGTCTTAAATTGGATCTTAAAACGAAACTGTCAGCAGCTTCAGTTTGGCTTCGTGCTTGAGAATAGGATAAACAACTTTCTATAAAGCCATCCAAGTAGGGACAAGGCCATGGCATTATACAACTCAAGACATGGCCTCATTTTAGGGCTGCTCAATAAATCGTATTTTAAATCGCGATTACAGCTTGCAACAATTACGAAAACAACGTAATCGAAATAAAACGATAAATTTTTATCATTACTTTTTTTTTTTTTTTTTTCGTTGAATTATACTTTAAGTTCAGGGTAATCAACTGTTAAGATATTCTCCAATAAATGGATTTTTTTTCAAAGTCAATGAACAATCGCATTTAATAATCCCAATTACAATTACTGACCCAAACAATCGAGATTATGATTTTTCCCCATAATCGAGCAGCCCTACCTCCTTTAGTGTAGAAAAACGAGGACGGAAGCTACCAAAATGTTGTGGAGTTGACCAAGAGCGAGATGCTGATTTTGAGACACTGATTCTAGTCGTAAACGCTGTAAAATTCACGTACTATTACTCCAAGAAGTTTCCAAAAATAATGGCCAGTAAGCTTCACTGATCCATCTGCCATCATTGACAAAAGTCATCCATATTTTCTGGGTATTCTAGCCTTTACTAAAAGCATCAGGGTGACATTTTCACAGGTTGGTTGCAGGTGTCCTGGGGGAGGTTTACAAACACACAGCGTGGAAAGCTCCTCCAGCTCCAGCAGAAGAATGCAGTGACAGGCAGGCTGCAGCAGTGTGTGTGCTAAAATGGCTGCTCATTCTCCATAAAGACACACAGCTCAGCTCGAAGAAGGAGGGCTCCCACTCCCAACAATTTCCCTCAAACGTTGCTCATCCTTAGGTAAAGCTTGTCTAGAGCCAATATAGGAAATGCCATTGCGTATAACACTAAGACATATACTCCTTACAATGCTTTCCAAACCATCAAGCAACAACTTCTTCTACGCTCACATCCTCATCAGTATGCACAGTCTTTCTTACGAGAGATGAAGGTAGCTGCAGCGCTTGAGCACGTCCCCATGCCGTGACAAGATCTAGTTCAGGGACTTCATCTATTCTTCACATTGCAGTTGAATTTGAAAGTGCATTTATCATTTATATTTGTTTTCATGCATTGTTTGATGTGTCTGAGGTGCTGCAAGACAAAACAAAGGGCACTGGGTCTTTTATTTGAAGATAGAAGAAGAAATAAAACAAATACGACTTTGTTATTATGGTGTTTTTTTAGTTACATTGAACTCCATATCCTGGCTCTTATCTGGATTACATCAGCTAGACTGATTTGACCTACAACACGACAAGGTCTCTCTACTACACAAACAAACCACCTGCTATCATCCAGCGTAATCTGGCAAAGAGTAATGGACAAGTTTGCATATGAACTGATAAACAGGATTCTTGTTATGATCACTTGAACCGTATTTCCATTTTAAAAGGGTATGCTAATTTGCCCTGATCAAATACAGTTCAATAGCAGTGGTGTGTGTCTGGACATTATCCAAACTTACATCATTTCAAAAAGAAAAATCCATGTGAAGAGTTGCCCGGTTGTATAAATAAAACTGACCCGACTTAACTCCACATAAGGTCAAATAGCTTTGAGTTGTTGTTGCAGTTGTTTTGCACTTACTTACAGCACAAGTCTAAATACAGCTGAGGAAAAAGCTTCAAAGAAACGTTAACATTGTGAAATGAGCCATATTTTACTCCATTGTTGAAACACATTGATGTTGTTGCAGCCGGATCATCAGAGATTGTAAAAATGTTAAAGACAGAAATCCTCTCACACATGTCCACCAATCACACAACAGTCTGAAAATATTTCTGTGTTACCCTTCAGGCCTTCAGAGGCAAACATTTGGAAGTAATACTAATGCATAAATGATCTTCATAACCAAATTATTACTACTTTTCTGAGAAAGTCATCATTATTTAATAATTCAAGGCTTTTTACTCAACACCATACAATCATATGAAGCATTCAGACTTAATGAGCATTATTTCATTAATTGGTGCATAAACCATCTTTTACAGTTCAATAACTCAAAATGTTTAGTTTTCAATGTGAGCTAGGTCTACATTGACTTGAGTGCAAATCATTGTTTATCACGCAGCTCCTAACAAGGTGGTATTGGTTAGATAATGTGTCATGCAAAATGGCGAAAAATGCTGTTCTTAGGTTCTCAAATGTGGATTTTTGCAGCTTATCTCTTTTGTTTATGATTGAACTGAATTTATTTTGTATTTGGATTGATAGAAAAATACATTTAAAGACATGACCGTGGATATTTTTGATACTAGGACGGACATTTATCACTTTCTTAATACATTGAATAGACCAAAAGATTATGTTTTTGACGTATAAAATAATCTGTAGAATAATAAAGAATGAAAATAATTGGTAAATTGCAGCTCTAGTTGAAACCAATAACTGAATTCAACATTTTACATTAAGGGTTCAACATGTAAAAAAGCCTCAGGACTAAAATACTTGCAATAGAAAAGTAGGTCGATTAAGGTGCATTTTATCCATTAATCCAAACCTAACAAGTTCTCCAACGGCATGGTATTGCATCTAAATCACTGCATGTTTTCAACACTGTACATGAGGTGTGTATATGAGAAATAACCAGTGGCTTTTTTTTGTTGTTGCACCTTTTACAAAGAGGTCAATGTGTCCTTTAAGTTGTGTTGCGTCCAGGGCGCAAGTGGCGGGTAAATCATAATAAACTACAGCGCCCCTAGCGGCCGTTCACACCACTGTCTTACATAAGCAACAGCCTGGTGTGTTTTCTATGCAGGTGGTGGCGAAGGAGCAAAATGTCCCAGCTCGCTCTGCACACGTTAATAGAAGATGGTGTCGTGGAAATGTAGCAGGAAACATAAACAAAGAGTCAGGCATGTTATGGAGGCC